AGGTGCGAGAGATAATTGAGAGCAAGTGTCTCTTCAAAATTCGAAGACGCGGAAAAAACGCGCGGATTTAGAGACTTTGGCTATTCGGGTCCGAAGAGACGGCACTTCGACGACGGTCGCTCTCGAGGAAACAAATATTCCCCGACGATATGGAATGAGATCAATTTTCAAGATCTGTAATGACTGCTCGCGCGACGTCTCGACTTCGTCACGCTGCGAACAGCGATGCGACTTGGAGGGATCGTCTCAGCGCCATCGTGGAGAGCGACCGTCGTCCCCGGACTTCTTTGGACGGCACTTTCCCCACGGAGAAGAGATGCTAAGATAGTCGGGCGAGGACTGTGCGTCTCGCATCGGGCGTATTCGACTGTGAAATTCTCTCTTCAAACAGAAGCGGGTGGCCAGCGCATCTTGGCTGGTGGCTTGGTCCACTTCGGCGGTGGAGGAAGCGAGACGCGAACCGGGGGAAGGGGTTGCCCTGAAAAATTCGCAGTCGCAACGCGGTGGCGCAAGCTGGACCGGAGGACCCGAGAAAATCCACCACGTATCCAGCCCACGTACGAAATGCTTCGATGGATAGCCGTAAAAGCCAGCGGCGGCTATCCGTTCGCCCTCTTCGAGGTTCCGCCGCCGCGAGTGGCGGAGGCAAAAGGGCATCTCGTTCGTCCGGAATAACGCGTATCTTCGGCCGTTTCCCGACGGCAGACAAGTGGAAACGACAACGACGATGACGGCGATGGTGGCGGGAGAATATTCGAGACATCGGAAAGCATAAAAGACCGTAGAGACACGATAACGTTTGCGTGTAACTGGGAGATAAGTTCCGTAATTCGCGCGACGCGAAACCTCTCGAGAACCTCGTTCCACCGAAATTATTCTTTCGCGCTGAGGGACAAGATTTGACTTTGTTTGCTGTACTTCGCGGTGAATGAAGGTCGCGATGTTTTCTGACAATTTTACGGTCCGGATGAAGGTAAAACATCGTTTCTTCTCGCGTGGGAACTACGAATTAATTGAATAAGAGCCGTGCAAGCCGTCGTTGGCGAGGCAAAAGCGGCAAGATCAAAAGCGCAGGAGTTCTATCTGTTTCGGACGAGCACGAGAACCGTTTTAAAGAGAGCACCCCGAGACACGACCCTCGCGCTTTTTCTCTTTCTATCTCTCTCTCTCTCTCTCTCTCTCTCTCTCTCTCTCTCTCTCTCTCACCGCCGATCGTCTTCTCCCCCATGTTCTTTCTGGCGTTTTCATATTTTTGCTCTTCCTCTTTCGCCGCAGTAACGTACGAAAGACGAGTACGTATATTGAGGCTCCGAGGGAGAAAGGCCGGAGGGTGAAGAACCGCCCGGGGGTTGCCATCTACTCGGAATTCAGAAACGATCAATGCTTCAGGAGAACCCGCCGGCACCTCCTTCTCCTCCGCCTCCTCCTCTTCCTTCGCTTTCTATACTTCCTCTTCTTCTACGCTCTCTTTTTGTCTCTCTTTCTCTCTCTATCTTGACTTGTGCTCGTCGAGAGAAAGAATGAGAGAGAGTAGAAAAGAGCTGAGCGCTATCCTTTCTTATTCTTATTTCGCCACCCCGCCGCACGTCCTCGCGCGCGCCACCCTTCACCGTCGTGTCGTCCCTTACGCGTAAAAGCAGCTCCGCACGAGGGGGTTGATTCGTCGGCGAGATGTCGTGCTGACAGCCGACTCCACGCGGTAAAGCGGAGGTCGAACGATTTGCCAAACTTCCGGGTTTCTTCGGGAGACGTTCCGCCCTCCCCCCCCCCGCCACCTGCTCGGCGAGAAGTCGCCGAGTGGATTTCCCAATGGAAAATTCGGGCGAGGCTTTGGCACGATACACCGATGTATCGACTTGCGCGCGTTTGCAACTTGAGAAAATTAATCGCTATGAAAAGCCAGAGATTTTCAACGGTTTATCGTCTCATTAGTCAACCATGCGTAACTTTGTTTACAAGTTCAATCGATGCAAGATAATTTCGAACGAATGTGAAATATTTTTCCAATATAATTTTTGTAATGCTCGCGAATATTTTCCACGACCACTGATTTCTCTCTCTCTGGAAAATCAATTAACCCCGATCGATTAAGTTCTATTCTTACAAGTAGAAATCGAGCGAAGGTGAATGAGCGAGTGTTACTTTACCGTTATAAACAGGAAGAGACTGGCGGGAACAATTGCGAGTAATTTCGAAAATGTGGTCGCTAAGTTACTCGCGCGATTACTCGTGACAACTACGCGAGGAGGCGCGCTGCCTCGTTTTACGGGACGGAGCAGGACAAATGTGCGGAAACGCGACGATTTGCCAAACTTTGGAAACTCTCGTCAGGAATTACGGCTAAGAGACCATCGTTAGTTCGAAAGTTGCGGAACACGTTTGAAGCGTTAACCCCTCTCCGCGCGATCGTGAAAACTTTGTTAAATACTATCTCGTAGATATCTCAGCGGGAACGCTGTCGGCCGGCTTCGCAGTTTCTGCGAAAGTTCCAGCCGCAAATATGCGGCTAAAAAATTTATGAGAGCCGTGCGAATTATACGTGCCGTTCGCGCAGTTCACCGACGTAACGAGAGAGAAGACTGCACGAAGCGAGCGTAAAGAGATGAGCGCCCATTTGTTCGTCTCTCTTACTCTCGAACGAAAAGTAATGAAAAAGATAAGCACCTCATTTGCTACTTCGCGTAGTTCCCCGGCCGGATTGGCGCAAAGCGGGCGTGAAAAGGACAAAACGAGCATTATTGGAGTAATTCGTGGCTCTCGGCCGACTCCGTCGGGAAAATAAGGAAAGACGGATTTGTCATCCCCGCGAGGCGAGGTCGGAAATACGATTTGTACGTGCGATCGATCAAAACAAACCTTCGTCTCTTGGCACCGCAACGGCGGCGACAGTGGCGGAGGCGGCAGCGACGGCCGCTCTATCCGGGGCGATTCGATGAGCTAACGCCAACTTAACGCTACACACCCCACTGAGCCGCACTCGGTCAGATAACTCGCGGATTTTCGAGCACCCTGCAGATTCTCCGATCGCTTCCTCACTTGTGGATTCCACCGCGCGGTGTTCAATCCGCGTTGCGAACTTTTTCCGCGATTGCGAAGGACTAATCCCGAATTGTTGGATTGTTACGCGGCCGCATCATGAACGGGAACGGTAGTCGTCAATTTGCTTTTACATTAATCTTGTAAATTCCGTCAAACTCGAAGAATCAATGATGGATTTTGAGGCTGGATTTTCGGCTAAATAAGGTGATAAAAGTAAAGTTATGCATGCGAATTCACGTTTATAGCATATACTTTCCAAATATGAAGTTTTTGATTCGGAGAAGACTGTCATTTTGCCGAAAAAGGAAGAAAGAATCAGAAAAGCGGGACTCGGTACTTTTTGCGAACTGTTCGTCGGCTATTTGAAATTGCTCGAGTTTCAACACGATAAGTCGGTCCATTCCAAGATCGACCTCGCGCATACATTTACGTCTGCGACACTCGCGAAGTTCAAGAATGCCATCGCCGAAAGGAGGGAAAGTAAGCAAGTTACCTCGCGACGCGTTCGGTCCACGTTTCTCTCTTAGCCCGACGAGTTTTAGCGAAGTTACAACGACCAGCGGAGATGTCGAAGGACCGAAATTATAATCGGCGGAGGGAGGAGGGATCTCGCGAAAGGAACGTAGGACGCACGGCGAGAACGCGCGGCAAGCGGGCGAGGAGCGTTGGAAGGCGTAAGAGAATGGAAATCAATACGTGAAGTGAGCAGCCAGTTTCGGGCAGAAGTTGCCGGCTTTAGAAAGCCTTGAGACGTCGTCTGCCCATCCTCTTCGGACCCTTGTGTTAAGAGAGCTCGAGCAGGCGAGAGCGAAGGAAGCGCCAGTGACAGAAAGTTAGCGGAAGAGAGACAGGTAGAGGGTGAGAAGAGTGGGTATGCGAGAGAGAGAGAGAGAGAGAGGGGGGTGAGACGAGAGGTTCCATTCAAGACTAATGGGGTTAAACGCCTTAGCCATCAACCGAACGCCTCCCTCTTGATTCTCGGACGTTTCGATTCGACCGGGGCTCGAATTCGAATTATCCATAATATCTCCGGACATAGTTTACGCTCGTCGAGAGATCTACGTCTGGTGCTCGCGAGATTCGCACCTTTCCCATCCCTCTCCTTCCCAATCTACTAAATGTCAGGTCAAGACGAGCGATATTACAATTATCACTTCGTTTACGTATATTCTTTTGCATTCGGGGGTGTTTCGCGAAAATTTTTACGAATCGAAGACGTCTCATCGCTCGGTGCGTTGCAAAGTTCAAACAGATCGCGAGAGAATAGCAGAAAAAAAATCGCATTCGGTTGCAGATCGAAAACGGGGGAGTGCACGCGAGCTACATGAGAAGCGACCGTGACGTTAATGCAAAAGCAGCCAATCGGGAAAGGGAAAAGAATTCGTCGCACGTATGGTGGTTATGCCCCGTCGGAGTAGCCATCGGCCAGAGGCCGTTAAGTTTTATGCTTCTTAGGCGGAGCGCCGCCGCCCCCGCAAGGGTTTTACCATAATCGTTCTTGTGATGGCCGGTCGTAATGGAATGTCGGATTGGAAAATGACGTATGGCCGATGATCGTACGAAGAAACGTTCCTCCGCGTCCGATACACCTCGGAGGCCGCAACGTGCAATTTTCTCATAGCCCACGCAGTCTCGAAGACATTCCTGGCTTTCGCGCCAGTCTATACAACTCGTCGAATTTCGTGTTTTGTATGTTTTCTTTAATACTTTCGACCGATTATATCAAGCAAGTAAATTTGAATTATTAACCGACCGTGCGACTAATGAAATTCGGAATTTCGGAGTAATTCGCGATCTCTGCGTTATTATGTCTGACGGTGCCGCTTCCAAAGTTACATGCACGCTTCAACGCCCGCTGCGCGTTACCTCGACGCGTACGACCTGTAAGACGATCTCTGGCGCGCAGGTCCGACATGTAAAAATTTGACGATTGCACAATTACGTTCGACGAGGCGTCTTACCTTTGTGTGCCATGTCGTCAGCAGTGACCGAGGCTATGAGGCCGGTGGCGCCCGGCCATGGAGCGACCGCAGCGCCCAGTTGCTGCGAAGGCAGAATCTTCGGGCCTTTGAACACTTTCGTTCACTGAAACACACACAATAATTGATATCGTTAGAAAATCCCCGTTAGAACATCTATTCTTCTTCCCACCAGAAACCGGATTATCGACCGTCCGACGTGTGACGTCGGCTTAATAATATTATTCCAGCTTCGTGACACGGTTTCGGGCCGAGAACGCGATAAGAAACGAACCTTTGAATGATCAACTAATAACGCGATCGAGAAGAAGTCTTCTTCGTAAAGACATTCGGTGAACACCTCGACGACGGCGACCGTGCTACCTCCGTCGCGTACTAACGTCGCGTTCAATTTAGCAGCATATTTCCCAAAACTGCTCGTACGACCGCGGCACCTGTGTAAATCCGCGTCATTTGGATATCGCGGCCGTGTGTGCGTTGCGTGGTCGCCTTGAACAGGCAAATAAAAGCGACGTGAAGCGATCTCCGTCACCACGCCGTTATCACTAAAAGGCGCACTCTCTGTCCTGTCGTACAGTCGGTACTTCGCCCTTGCGTCACACAAGAAGGAAATAGACAATAAAGTGTTGTTAGAGAGATTATTTTACAGTGAGTTTATGTGTGCAAGTCGAATTTTAATTTGAACGACGGGAGGTAAATCACTGATCAATATTTTAGTATGAGATTAATATATATCATTTAAATTAGTTGTTAATTAATACAGTCATTCTCTCCTGTCTGAATCTTCATTATTATTCGCAGCTACTCTCTCTTTTGTTGCCAACAATCTCGCTTGTACCGTCGTACGAGTGTACATGCGAGCGAACCACCCCTAAACAGGAGCCGCATCGTTTTGAGAACGTCGCGACATTGACATGTGAAGTGTTTTAATTAGCGCGTGAGATCGCGCTCGTTGAAGATGCGAACTACCTTGCAAACGTAACACCCTCCGTATCTTTCGTTACCGTAGACAAAAAAAGAGAGGGTGAAACGAGCTGCTAAAGGGGATGAAAATGGAGTTAAGCGTGATAATTAGTGTCGGAAAGGGTTACTCGGCTGAAAGCGTATGAGTTGTGTCGTTCCAACACGCGCGTAACGAAAAGTGATACAGCGAGAAGAGCGATCCGTAAGGAGAGAGAATTCAAAGCTTAAGAAATTCTCGGAAAGCAAAAATTAAATTTCATTGTTGCTTCACTCAGAAGGATTTTCATTCAGCATAAATATTCAATATTAATGCTTTGGGTGTTATGAAACATCGAAGGAACCAAGTAACGCACTGAACGGGAGAAGAATTTTCACTCTGAAATCGCGTCAAATGGAACGCGTGGGGTGCAAACTCGAGATCCGGACGAAAACTCAGTTCGGTTCCGTGTTTCGCGCTTTAATTTGTGCAATATCTCGTCTTTCTCTCGCGACGGCTACGATATCTTAGACACACGCGATGTAACACGTTTCTCTGCTCGTTGGCGAGAGAAAACTCGCTTCGCTCAACCGGGACGTCTCTTTTGCGGGGGACACGTTCACGTGGGACTCATTGAGCCAAATCGAATTTACGTTACAATTTATAAGACGATCCGCTTCCGCGAGCAACATGATTTAACGCAGCCGGCGCGTCCGCGAGACACGCGCGCTTCCCCCTTTTCCTCTTTCATTATCCACGATGCTCTTTGCGATGCAACAGAAGACGTCGGCGCAGCAGATGAGATACAGCCGACAGAGAGAAAAGAGCCGAACGAGGCGCGAAAAGCATGTACGCATATAAATGTATGTACAGAGAGAGATAGAGAGAGAGAGAGAGAGAGAGATGAGAAGGAAGGAAGGAAGGAAGAGAGAGCGAGGGTGGAGCGCATCGCGCGTTCGCATATTGTGCAAGAGGATTACCTCGGATTATGCCCGACTGAGCGCAAACAGGATCACGTCGCTTCTGTTTGCAAGACGCCAAGCTGTCGATTTAGCGAACTCAAACTCCGTTTCGCGCAGAATCGCCATCAGAACAGCGGTATTCCGAGTGGCTCCCGCGTTTCCTTCTTTTTTTCTTTACCATGCACTTTCGAAGCCAAATACCGGAAGAGCACGAGAGCGACGTATCGCCATTTCTTATCGCGTTTAGAAATTCTCTCAACGAGTGTTCAAAGGAGGGGGAGATCAACCTTTCGAATGATTTCCTCTGCTTCTTCCACGTCCGACATCTCGATCGTTATTACCGCAGATATTAAATTTCCTCCCATTAAATTCTATCTCGAAGTCGTAGCAAGGACAACGTCGAAGGAAACCGCAACTTCTCCGAGCATCAATATGCAACGGATCATTTGCTCTCACGAGAGAGAAGCAAACTGACTCGCGACAAGAGTCGCGAGAAGGTCGCGTGCGATCTCGCAGCGCGATGATGACGATCTCGTCTCGTCGTCGTCGTCGTCGGTGCTCTTTCACGGGGCGAGATGCGGACAGAAAGCTCTATCTCACTCGCGGTTGCCGCGGGACAAGTTTGAACCCTTCTTGAACGCTCGGCAAACGCGCAACGAGAGACACAACGCGCGCAACAACGACGGGGGTGGCGGAGGCGGGGGAATGGTGGTAGCATTATACACGCGGATGGTAATAGGTTCCATATCCACGAGCTGCCGGCGCATTATGCTTTACATTTCCGGCGAAACACTGTTAATGGCACCCACCGCCGTCGCTACCGCGACTACACCGTCGAAATCCGCCCCCGTAATACACGCCCAACCCCCGCGGGCATTAACCGCTCGCGCTACCGTATAAAGTGACTTCCGCCCGCGATTACACTCGTCGTGAGCACGTGCACGCGCGCGCGCGCGTTTGTGCATTAATTATTAATTACGCCGGCGAAGAACGTACCGGCGCATTATCGCCGATGTACACGCCAATGTTCCGCGTAATCGAGGACGATTGAGAGATAAATCGCTATTATCGTAACGTGTAACGGCGGCCTCCGCGCGAGAGGGGGAGGTGGCTAATTAATTTCGTCGGAGGCACCTGGTCTTGATATTTTTTGTATGTTTTTACGTGGTTCATCTGCGCATTTAACTCCTCCTTATCGCGAGTATCGCGGGCGCGCGATACCGTTGTTTCTCCGTGAAATCTCTCGGTTTTCGGGCTTTGACGTGTGAGATAAGTTTGAAAAATATGTTCCGACAGATTCTGATTTCTACTTCTGCGTTCGCTTCTACCTGAGACGCAGAAATAATTTGGTGTGAATGATTTTACCACTTTTTCTGATGGTGTGATATATTTAATAAGATCTTCGCTCGTATGGATGATGTAAGCTCTTCGGGCTATTTGCCTCCATTATTTTCCATACGTTCGAACTCGGCGGTATTTATTCGCAGTATTATTACCCGCACTCGAGAAGAGATTCATTTCGCGGAAAGTTTCGCCGAGATTTTCAGTCGTCACGTGGCGCTACGACAGAGGGCTGTGCTCTTAATGATACTTCTCTCTCTCTCTCTCTCTCTCGTCACATATTTCGACCTCGATATCGATCGATCGGTAATGTCTCAATCCGTTCCAAATATAGACTGTCGAAAAGCGTTTCATTGATCAACGTTAATTCGCGCGCGCGCGTCGTTTATAGGATCTATTCCTGTTTAACGGCACGTTAATAATGAACAGTTAACGAGGCGTTAAACGGTTATAGATCTTACGGAAGGCTTCCTTCGAAACATAATACAATTCAATTCAATGCAATTGCGCCACAGCGTGCGCTACAGAGTAAAGATGTTAGCGGCCAATTCTCTGCTCTTTCGTTCACCGTTACTTATGAGCTTTCCGTTTCGGATTTTCGAGTCGTCGCGTCGCTCTCCGCGCTGCTCTCTGAGGTGTCTCGACGCATTCGGGTCGCTTGAAAGAGAGAGCCCTTCTCATATCTTTAAATATATCTTTCTCAAATACAATGATTTCCTTTCTCACGCGTTTCCATTCTGCGTCTCTATTTTTTTAGCAAATGCAGGTCGATGTACGCGCGCGCCTGAAACCCGCCGAGCGTGATGCCTTTTGTCAGTGTTTCCAATTAAATTCAGAATATATTTACGATCTATTTTCCTTTTGAAATAAATAAAATTATAAGAGATACACCTTTCAGTGAGCCATTTTCAAGAGATCCCGGGCGAAACTTCCAACGAATCTCTCGCGGAGTTGTTGTCCCAACGGTCTGAGGGGTAGTGCGGACGTTTCGCGCGGGCGATGACCGACTATTTGCCACTCACAAATATATTTGCTCCGATTAGAAGGAATCGTTCGCATCGTCCGCAACGGAGGCAAATGGAGAGGAAAGGAGCCGGGAGGACGCGCGCACAATGAGCCGTCACGACGCTGGAAAGGAGCGTTCACAATGCACGCGTCGGATGTCACGACGGGACGTCCACACTTGTGCGCTCGACATTCGCTTCGGGCGGGCTCATTCACTCCGACGGGTTTTACGCGGCAAATCGTACAAAGCCTATCGCCTAATTACACCATAATACCGAGACTGTGAGAGACACGCGGAGGAAGAACGGGGACGGGAAAGAGACAGATTAGGAGAGGAATATCACGTGGATACGCGAGACAGGCAGACCGATTTGTACGCAGAGATTCTATTGAATCGTATTCGTCGCCGACACACAACGACGTTTCGCGAGAGAAGGTGCTTCGAGCTGCATTATATGCGTTACGCGCGTACAATCCTCACACCCTCCCCCGCGCGCGCTCGCCTGATATCGACTATGTTAATCGGCAAGATGAATCAATAGGATCCTCAAACGTTCGCTCGCTTGCTGTCTTGTTTGCGACGAGCGATTAATGTTCGCAGTGTTCAATTAGTCGGGCGTATTCGCACGTGAAGACGCACTGTGGACGTTATCGAGGTAAGATACCTCACTTCGGATGCTGAATCGGTCCTTTATCCGCATTCCCGCTTGTATTCGCGTTAATCCTTCGCGAGAGAGAAGATGAGGATGCGACATGATAAATTAAAATGCGATTTTATTATGTAGCAAGTGAAGGGTTAACAAATTTGTTGACAGAGTAACGCGATGGACTTTTTAAAGTCTAACCAAACACAAACATTTAAAGACTTCTCTTTGATGAGTAAATGACTTACAATCTATCGAGATAAATGTCTTATCGGTGAAACTAAAAACTCGATTTTCCCGCGAATTTAATAAACTAATCGGAGGATTTGTGTGTAGTTAACTTTCACCTCTTCTGTCCGGCGCGCTGAGACAAATAGTTGTCTGATAAAAAAATTCTACACAAAACAGAAAGAAATACAGTTACGTGTGAGAGAATCAACTTTTTCCTCCCATTGCTCCCCCGAAATTAAATCATAATTGTATCATCAACGATAGAAAGTGGTGTGTGTTGGAACAGGATAACAACTATAAAGTCGAAGGGGATATTTTACAAGCCCGCGACTTTGCAAAACGCGTTTTCATCGATCGTTCTCACGTCGACCACCCTCTTTCTCGTCCGCAGGCTACACCGAAATTTCTCAAGCACGTGGCGTGTACATACCAAGAGCTGCCGACGGCCGACGGTGTCCGTCCTCCCACCGACGTCCTCGCTCTCGGCAAAGGCACCACTGCGAATCCGTTTGCGGATCTCGCTGTTTCGTCGCACCTCGCGTATACCAATCACAGTCCCGGCGACTCGTTCGTTCGGTCGAGCTGTCCTATCCTCGCGTATGATCACTCGCGCGGGGGTTGAACACTCCGATTTGACTCGCGGACGGTCGTCCGTCGTGACTCGCGCGAGTTCGCTCTCTCGACACCCCTCACTCTCGCGAGTAGCCCGGTCACGCTTAAACGAACTCGTCGCGCCAAGCAACCCCTCGATCGACGTTCGCGACAGTCCCTCGAGCACGGCCAACTATTCGCATCGACTATCGGCGCGATGACTCTCGCTGGATTGAGAGCCGATGACTATAAGCGCGCGCTTGTCGATCCGCGCGACCGCAGCACACGTGCTGCTCTGCAGCGTGATTCTTCTCCTCTCTCGCTTTCGTGAGATCCGTCGCGGATCCTCGGGGAGAGGAGGGTGGCGACGCGAGCTTCTACGCGAGGATGCCTAACCCTACGAGGGTGAGCGCGAAAGAGAGAATAGTATATCTATGTGTGTATACACGGAGAGAGAGAGAGAGAGATACGGCGGAAGAAAAGAGAGAATTCGAGAGAGAGAGAGAGAGGGTGCGAGATGCGTGTATCGGCCGAAAGAAGAGAGGAGCGGGAGAGACTAGCCGTGGAAATATTATTAGGTAAAGCACACGCACGGACTGGCACGCACCGACTCGCGGACTCTCGTTGGGTCGTGCCGTCGTGGTGGCCGCGGCTCGTGTTGGTACGTCGGACTGGATTTGGACCAATGGGCTGAGGGCACAGCTTCCCTCTCCACGAGGAAAACGGGAGAAACGGTGGGGATCTCGGCTCCGCTTCGTGATATCATCGATTCTGAATGGTGGAGATGCTCAACCGTGCGGAAGGTACATCGGAGGGCGCGTGCTGTGCGTGCAGTGCGCACACTCGACAACGTGCGCGAACCGCACGGAAAAGGGACAAGCCGGGTCGCACGACTCCAGACGGAGATGAACCTCTACGAGAAGACGATGTTGCGTCATTTCTCGCTCGTGTTTCCTCTTTTTTCCCTCGTTTTTTCAAGAGAAAAATTTAAAAAAAAATTTTCTTTTCGGTGTCACAGTCAGAGGATTAAAAATTACGCGGAACCTGAACCGTCACTCAGATCTTAATGGTTCGAAACTTGTTAAAAAATTATGTGAGTAAGGGAGTTTTAATTCGGATTTGTAAATTTCGATCGAAAAATTCGAACGAAAATTTTTATTAATATGACTTTGTAATGATAAATATTTATCTTAATCTCTGAATCAGGATTAATAATGATCGAGAAGTATGTGTGACAGGTGAATTCAAAAAAATTGCTCGAGTATAATAAATTTAAAAAAATTATTAGCATTAAGATAAATCCATAGATAAATTTCGACACATCTCGATTCCAGCGAAATACATTATTTGTTGGTACATTCCCTGTTTCTAATTCAGAATGTAACGCGGTTATTCTTTTATCCGCTGATAACATTGTATTATCTTCACACCTACTTGATGTAACCTTGGCGGTTTGTGAATAAAAGAGCAAAGGCAAATATATACACAATACTCTCTTTAAAATGACAATAAGTCTCTTAATTCTATATTGACAATGCATACAAATTTTTTTTTTAACAGCACGCCGGAAAAACAAATTACCTCCTGAGCGTAACAGCTTTTTATACTTTTCTCAACGATCTAATTCCTACGAGATTTTACAATAAAATCCACTCGTCACATTGAAACGTCTCGATGCTGCCGCGATTCTTCCCGACCTGCACAGATTTGTCCAAAATGCGAATCGTGGACAAGGAAGAACATTACGAATGTCGGAGTTTTCCAAAATTTTTTTGCATTTTTTTCTAATTTTTCTCAAGTTTGACATTTTTTCTAATCCTCCCTGAGTTTGGCGAGATCAAGTCTTGGCGAGTGGCGGAGCGACCGGGGATTGGCGTGAACCTCGTCGCGTCGTCGGAATTTTCGCCGCTCGAAAGCCGTCTTGCCGAGGGATATTAAAATATAATTGGCGTTTGTCCCCTTCGGGTGCAAAGCGGTATCTAGTCACGCGTGGACCGAGCGACCGTGGGTGTTATGCACGCCAGAATACGCCGAGCGCGCGCGCGCGGGGGTGACTCACCCTCTCTCTGCTTCAGCATAGCGTGGTGTCCCTACAGTCTTTCTCGCGGGACAGAACGGGACGGAACGGGACGAAACGGGACAGAACGGGGGTAGAGAGACAGATGCATCTATCCTTGTCGACGGTGCGTAGATCCGCAAGCTCGTTTCACACGGAAATATCTAGCGATGAGACACGAGACTCTGAGAGAGAGAGAGAGAGAGAGAGAGAGGCGCGCACGGTGCAAAACATAAGCCGTTTACTTTGAGATGCGATGTTCACGGCGGGTCCAGTTCTCGAAGCGCTATGAATGCGAATCGGATACGGATACAAAGCGGACGCGGTGTTATCGATCTCAACAACTTGGAAACCGGACTTACGTCGCTTTTGAGCGAAACGAGGCATGTAATGGGCAGTACGAAGAAAGTGGAGCGAACACTTTTACATTGATTTATTGAGGAGAATGTTTCGAGAAACGAGGATATAAAGGTGTCATCGGGGCGCTTGTCTCGAGAGCGAAAGCATCTGTTGCTATAATTAAGAGATCACGGCGAGTGTTGAGTAATTAATATAAGGACAATCTATGGGACTGTTGAAATGCGCGAATAATTTCACGTGTGTTAGACGACACGAATGCGACAATAAACTGGGAAATATAATATAAATATAAATCAATATACGTACATGTAATATATATCAATATACATGCACATGTTATTTATACTATATTATTATAAAATAAAATTTTGAATATCGCAAATTTGTATTTGCGCACGCTTATTATATCTTATTCCTGCATCATGTCGAATTTCAACCTCTAAAACAACAATGATCACGGCTAAAACTCTTACGACGATCGATCGCCGCATCGCTCGATGGAATTGCACGATACGTTATCATTCAAAGAGATATTCACTGACCTCTCGTTCACGTGAGTCTATTAACATAGGCAACCGTTTCGCGAAAGACACGCTGTCGAATCCCTGGTGCGCGAGTTGGCGCAGAGCCGCGATTGTGTAATACCTTACGCGAGTTCGATCAAACAGAGCGCGAACGGTTCGCGAAGGTCAGCCTTGGCGCGATTTGCGTAAAGAACTTGGAAAGTTTGCTCAAGCTGTCTTCGCGAGAACTTCGGCGAAGATAACGGCCGCAACTGAAAACAAGCTCAAGAGACGATGAAGAAACTCGGTGATCGCGGTAGTCGAACGGAGTGCGTGACCTCCACGTCATGGAAATATGTCTGAATAAACTCTTCACAAATTGATCGAGAAAGAGGCCTTGGAGGAGAAACATTACGGGCGCCGCGTGTTAAATTTGGATGATGAGACGTTATTCGATCAAAAAGCGACTTTTCAATATTAGCAATTGAAAAGCGATCGAACATCAATAGCTCGTTGTATTCGATGGCCGCTGGCGCTCGAACATTGCGTTGCAATCGTTCACGACGAAATGACCGACGAGAGACTCTTCAAAAGATTCGACTTCTTCACCTGGACAATCCTGGACGTGAATTCGCGCGCGTGCGCCACGTCGCTTATTCCACAATCCGAAGAGCCGCTGCAGGTCACGATGTGAACCCGGCTTTAGGAGATCCACGCGGTGGAAGTAACGCGTTTCGATTTTGCGTTAGCTCAGCTACGCGTGAATCCAGCCAAGGTCAAGTCGTTCCCCGTTTCCGAGCATCCCTCCGGCACTCGGGCAGGGCTCTTAAGATCGATTCCAACCAATTTTATACGTAGGGTGGCCTGCTACAAAAGCACGATGACGTTTAGGTGAGACACAATTATCCTCGTTTACACCTCTCGTTGTGCCCCGCTCTCGAAAGAGCAGGTCGTTGCGGTTTAATTAACGCGCTTTAATGAATTAATTATACGAGATGCGCGTTCCCTCCTTCTCTCTCTCTGTCCCTCGCGTGAGTCTTCGAAAGTTTTACGAAGAGGATGTCATGGAAAATGATAAAGGCGATAAAGGAGGTGCATCGAGATGAGAATCAATTCGATCATGCGCGAATCGACCACTTCGTAAAAGGTACAACTGATTTCGTCGAGTGTATCCGTTTTTTTACCGACCTCTTATCGATTTCTCGCTCATCTATCCGTTGATTGTCCATCGCCACTTGAACAAACGAGACTAGCATGGCACGTGCTGGCAGAGTTAATAAGCCAAAAAGCAGAAAGAAGAGGTATTTACTGAAGTCGAAGAGGCAGATCTTCGTCTGTTCTCGAGCGACGTCGCGATAACGCTATTTGCGTTGTTGAAATCTACCTTTGAGAAAAAGAAAAAAAAATGAAAAATCGATAATAGCTTTGCGCAATTGCCGTTGTACCAATATTATATATTGTACCGCCGGCGCTATCTCGGCGTTCGCGCAATAAGTCTGTCGCGGTTGAAGAAATTTCTGGCTTCCTCAATACAATTAATGTACAGCTAAAAAATTTTGCGGACGCAATTACGTATGATACTTACGATTGATGCGGGTGTTAGATGGGTGCTCTTTTCAAGCACAGAGTGTATTGGATATGGCAAAGCTTGCGGGTTAAATTAATTTTTGTTTAATTCCTGGACCAACAAAGATCAACGAGCTATAACGCGGATTCCCACTGAATCACTCTTCGTCCATGAAGAAACGAGAGTGATCCGGTTAGAACCGTAGGATGCTCGCGGTCTCGGATCTACCTGCGATAGCGCACAGGCAGGTAGTCGAAGAAGGCGAAGAAAAGAGTGAGAAGGCAAAGGAATCGGCGGAGAGTAGACGGAGAAAGAGGAAGGCAGAGAAGAAAGAGAGGGTAGGAGAGAAAGGGAGAGAGAGAGAGAGGAAGGAAAGAGGATAAATCGGCGACACACGAGCGAGGAAGGGAGAATGGCGAAGCGGCGAGAAAGAGCTAGGTGGAGAAGGGCAAAACAAACAAATTAACGTCAGAGTCGCTTGTTTATTGTTGGGTGGGGACACGGTAACCACGCCTTTGTCAAGCACGCCCTCCGAACGTTACGTTACCCCCCTGCCCCCCTGTTCCACCACCATCGACGTTTCTGCTAGCTCGTCTCCCCACCGCACCCGCCACCCGTTCGGTTGGGACACGGTGGTGGAAATGACGTCAGCAGCAACCCCCGATGCCGGGCATGCAACAGGCTGCTCTCGTTGCCCGAAACCACCCTGAACGATCGCGCGCGCGACTTGCCCGCTTGCCTTTAAATTTGCCTATTGCACCGCACCCGCGCGCACTTCGAGCAAGTCACCACTCGTAAAGACCCGACTGGTAGTCAACGATCGAACTATCGATACTACCGTGTACTTTTGCCAGTTGCATTGATATTCGCACTTCCGCGTGGTGGTGTTCGTGATGGATTATTGAATGAGTGCAGGAAGACTCGATGTCGAATTGATCGCCTGTATTTGATTCTTCAATATTTTCACAATCATTAAAAATTCTGAGAATCAACGATTTTTAAGACTGACAAGACGTATTTAAAGAATCCTTCGCAAAACTAGATTAACGAAGCAACTCTCAATATATAAATACATATAACATATAAATATATAATAAACATAATTATTTATTTTCTAAAATTTTTTAACAGATTACATTCAGAA